CACTGGGGTCAGCCCTGCCAACTGAGGAGAGCCCCCACCCTGCCCCTGCAGCACAGCGCCCCCTATTGCCACACTGGGGCCAGCCCTGCCAGCTGAGGAGAGCCCCCACCCTGCCCTTGCAGCACAGCGCCCCCTAGTGCCACACTGGGGCCAGCCCTGCCTGCTGGGGAGAGCCCCCACCCTGCCCTTGCAGCACAGCACCCCCTAGTGCCACCTGGGACATTGGGGACAGCTTGGATTGCCAGGGGAAAGTCCCCACCTCGCCCCCTGCAGCACAGCGCCCCTAGCACCACTCAGGGGCTGCGGTGAGATCACCCCACTGCATGCACATTCTGTTCCACTACACACAGGGTGTGAATGTCTTAGGGGTATGTTAGTGTAGTGAGATTTTGTGCAGTTGTGTGTGTGTGTGTGTGTGTGTGTGTGTGTGTCCCTGCCTCCCCTTGCTGAAGGGGATGAGCCCCTCCCTCCCAATCACCCCCTCCCACACACACACACAATTCCCACACCTGCATCCTAATTCCACAGACCCTGACAATCCTTGCCAGGGGAACGTGGAAGCCCATCACGCACACACACACACACACACGTCAGCAGGACAGACTGAGACACCACCACACAGCCAGCTGCATCCCACTGCCCCACACACATTCCCCCAGGGCCAGGAAGGGAACAGGCTGTGAGGAAGTGTGTGTGTGGTGCGGGAAGGTGGCACAGAGGAGGCAGAAAGCCTGGTACAACCGCTCTGCTCATGCCCTCCTTATGCCACTGGGGGCCAGGTGATGCTCCTCATCCCTGAGGACGAAAAAGCTACAAGCGGCCCGAGACGACCCCTTCAAGTCATCAGACAGTTAAATGAGGTGAACTATGTGATGGAACTGTCCAACCGGGTGCTCAGCCGGCAGGTGCACCATGTCCGCATGATGAAACCACACTGGGACGGGGGGAAGTTGGTGCTGGCTGTGTGGGTGGTGGGAGGACGGGGGGAGGATCCGCTGGTAGGTTTCCTCCCAGAGGCTGAGGCTGGCACCCTGCTGGTGTCAATTCCCCTCTCTGACCAGCTAACCCCAGCCCAGCAGGCAGAGATCAGAGAGGTGCTGCGTTCCTACCAGCAGCTGTTCTCCCAACCGGGGCTCCCTAACCTGGCTGCCCACTGGGTGGAGATGGGAGCCCATTTCCCCATCAGGTGTACCCCATTCTGGGTCACTAGGAAAGCAGCCCAGGACCTGGAGAGAGAGGTCGGATACATGCTGGCTCTAGGGGGGGGCCAGCTGTCCTCCTGCCCCTGGACCTCCCCCATGGTGCTGATCCTCAAGAAGGGTGGGACAATCAGTTCTGTGTGGACTATCGGAAGCTCAACACCAGCACCGTGTTCAATGCTTATCCCATACCTAGGGTGGACAAGCTCCTAGACAAGTTGGGGGGAGCCCAGTACCTCACCACTATGGATCAAAACCAAAGGAAGCTCTTCTTCACACAGCACACCGTCAACCTGTGGAACTCCTTGCCAGATGATGTTGTGCAGACCAGGACTATAACAGGGTTAAAAAAATAAATAAAAAATAAAACAAAACCCCTAGATAAATTCATGGAAGTGAGGCCCATCAATACATATTAGCCAGGATGGGTAGGAATGGTGTCCCTAGGCTCTGTTTGTCAGGGACTAGGAATAGACAACAAGGGAGGGATCACATCATGATTCCCTGTTCTGTTCACTCCCTCAGGGGCATCTGGCATTGGCCACTGTGGGCAGACAGGACCCTGGGCCAGAGGGACCTTTGGACTGACCCAGTCTGGCCCTTCTTAGGATCTCACCACAGTGTACTGGCAGGTGCCCTTGGACCCAGAGGCCAGGGCGCTTCGGGTTCCTGGTGCTGCCTTTTGGCCACAAGGGGGCGCCTGCCACCTTCCAGTGCCTGGTGAATCTGTTACTGAGGGGGATGGAGAATTTTTCTCTGGCTTATAGTGACCATACCTGTGTCTTTCGCCAGTCCAGACCTGGGAGGACCATGCGCTGCAGGTCACCTCCAGGATGCCGGATGGACCATAAAAGCTGGGAAATCATGGCAGGGATGGTAGAGCTCTCATATTTATGCAGTGTGCAGCAGCAGTCAAGAAAGCAAACAGAATGTTGGGAATCATTAAAAAAGGGATAGAGAATAAGACAGAGAATAACTTCTTGCCTCTATATAAAGCCATGGGGCTGCATAATGGCATTTTCTCCATTCTGCCTCCAAAGAAATACTGAACAGAGAACCACTTGGAAAAGGTTCAGAAAAGGGCAACAGAAATGATGAGGGGTTTGGAACAGGTCCCATATGAGGAGAGATTAAAAAGACTTGAACTTTTCAGGTTAGAAAAGAGGAGACTAAGGGGGGATATGATAGAGGTCTCTAAAATCATGAGTGGGGTGGGAAAAGTAAATAAAGAAAAGTTATTTAATTGTTCCCACAAGATAAGAACTAGGGGTCATCAAATTACATTAATAGGCAGCAGGTTTAAAACAAACATAAGGAAGTTTTTCTTCGCTCAGTGCACAGTCAATCTGTGGAACTCCTTGCCAAAGGATGTGGAGAAGGCTAGGACTTTAACAGGGTTCAAAAAAGAGCTAGATAGATTCATGGAGGTTAGGTCCATCAATGGCTATTAGCCAGGATGGGTAGGAATGGTGTCCCTAACCTCTGTTTGTCAGGACATGGATGACAGGGGAGGGATCACGTGAGGATTACCTGTTGTGTTCCTTCCCTCTGGGGCATCTGGTACGGGCCACTGTGGGCACACAGGACACTGGACTAGATGGACCTTTGGTCTGACCCAGTGTGGCCATTCTAATGTTTAGGACACAAAGTACCAGCTAAAATGGCAGCCAGCAGACTGGCCCGCTCCTCAGGCGTGGATCCAGGGCTCATTGGGATGGCGGGGTCCTTCTGGAGCTTTGCACCCCATGTTAGTGCCCTGGCAGCCCCCTATTAGTGCTGTGTAGGAAGGCCAAGCCCAACAAAGCAGTCTGGCCCACAGTGCCAAAGGGCTCTGTGTGCTGAAAAGGGCACTTACCCAGACCTGGTCCGGGTCAATCCAGTTTTTAGCAAACCCTTCCTGGTTCCCCCGCACCTCAGGCACCTGGTGGGCTGTGTGCCAATCAGACTCCACAGCCAGACGGGAGGGCGCCTGGCCCTGCAGTGGATCCGCGTGGGCTGCATTTCACCGTGTAGCCGACCACTCTCCCCTGACCTGGCTGTACCCCATGAAAGGAGCCAATGCCAAGCTGCTGAGGAGCAGGCTGCTCCTGCAGAATTAGGGCATGGAGACAGTCCAGGCTTAACGGAGTGTCACCAGGATGGCTGAGTGGTTAAGGCGTTGGACTTAAGATCCAATAGACATGTGTCTGCGTGGGTTTGAGCCCCACTCCTGGTAGCACTTCTTTATATTGGAAGGGCGGGTTTGTGTGAGTGGGAAACAGAATTTAAACAGCCCTGTGTAGCTTATTGGTTCAGTGTGTGCCCTGCACCCCAGAAAGAGCAGGCAGAGTCCCCCGTGGGGGGGGGGGTGCCTGGCCCAGGGCTGCTCTATTCCTTCCTGGAATGCACAGGCCCAGAGCTAGGGGGCCCATGGCAGGCACAGGGGTCCTGGGGGCTCAGAAAGGGGCAGTCTGGGGGGCAGAGGCCCCCACTGAGGAGGACTGCAGCACTGAGAGGAGGCCACCCGGGGCCACCCAGGGCCAAGCTCGGCACAGCCAGTGAGTCGCTGCTACAGAAGGAAGAGCCAGCCCGGATTGCAAGCCCTTGTGGTCAGCCTTGCTCCTGACCTGCAGCCCCCCTGCCAGCTCAGCCCTGGGTTCTCCTCAGACTCGCAGCTCCCCGCCTTGCTGCCCCATGACAGGGCTGGGAGTCCCTGTGTGTGGTGAGAGGGGCCCAGACACCATGGCAACCCCAATATGAAGTCAGCCAACCCCCTGTGTAGGGTTTCCAACCTCCGGTATCCTGGAAAACCCCGTCGTGAGTTGCTCTTTTAAGAGTTCTGGAACAATGCTTCATAACTCCTCTCTCTGATTTCGGAAGGCGGGTTCGGTTCTTGGGTCGAGTGGTGGGGCTGGCTTTTAAAATCTCACATTGGTACCTTCTTCGTCTTTTGCAAAATCCGCAGTGAAAGGAATCCTAAAACAAACATGAGCTGGCTGGGTCATCATCCGAGACTGCTATCATATGAAATACATGGCAGATAAAACATGCCGGTAGACATACAATTCTCCCCGAAGGAATTCAGCCACAAATTTAATCACCACATTTTATTTTTAATAAGCATCAGCAGCATTGAATATGTCCTCTGGAATGGTGGCTAAATTGAGAAAGGACATATGATTATTTAGCGTATCTGGCATGTAAATACCGTGCAGTGCTGGCTATAAAAGTACCAGGCAAACACTGGCTTTCACTTTCAGGTGACATTGTAAATAAGAAGCAGGTGGCATTATTTCCTGTACTGGTAAACAAACTTGTTTCTCTAAGCCAGGGGTTCTCACACTTTGTGATACCGCGACCCTCCTCTAAGTTGCTGCAAACCCCCTCTAAGTTGCTCATGACCCCCTGGGGGGGTCGGGACCCACAGTTTGAGAAATGCGGCTCTAAGCAATTGGCTGAACAAGAAGTAGGACTGAGTGGACTTGTAGGCTCTAAAGTTTTATGCTGTTTTGGTTTTGAGGGTAGTTGTGTAACCAAATCAAATCTACATTTGCAAGTTGTTAAGTTGCTAAACAGACTGCACTAGAGACTGTGTATGAGGTGAATTGAAAAATACTGTTTTTATCTTCACCGTGTGCATATTTGCAACAAAATAATAATATAAATTGAGCACTGTCTTGTAGTCTGTGTTGTAACTGAAATCAATATATTTGGAAATGTAGGAAAACCCATTGGGGTATGGGGGTGTGGGAGGGGTGTGAGGACTCTGGCTCATGATGTGGGCTCTGGAGTGGGGCTGGGGATGAGGCTCTTGGGCTGCAGGAGGGGGCTCAGGGCTGGAGCAGGACTTTGGGTGGGGGGATATGGGATGCAGGAGGGATGTTGGGTTGTGGGTGGGGGGGCTTACCACAGCTTGCAGGAGGTGACCACCAGGTCCATGCATCTAGGGGTGCAGGAATATCCAGGGAAGCCCCATTGAACAGCCAGGGAGCCTGTCTTAGCCTCAGGCCACTGCTGGGCTGCTAACTGACTTGTCAGTGGGGCCAACCAGAGCCCACAGCATCCCTTCAAAACCCAGACACCTGGCTACCCTTCCTGGCCCATCTCCTTGGAAACTCACACAGAAATGCTGAGAGATGCAGCCATTACCTCCTTGTGTCCCCCCGCAGGTGGGAACCAGCTACTGCGCCCTGCTGGGGGCCAGGATTCCTGGGCTCTATTCCCAGCTCAGGCAGGGGAAGTCTAGTGGTTAGAGCAGGGGACCCAAGATCCCTGGGCTAAGTCTCCCTAAGCTGTGCAGCTTCCTATTAAGCCCATGCAAAGCCTCAGGGTTGCAGCAGGGAGAGATGCCCCAAGCCTGAAGCTGCGGTGACCAGTGGAGAGGCACCTCTGCCCGCCAGCCCCAGCACAGAGCTGCCTGCCAGCCCCAGCATGGAGCTGCCCAGAGCTGTCACAGCTGGGGGACAAGTACCCCTTCCTAGGCCCCACCCAGCATAGGCTGGCCCCGTCCTTGCTGGGGCACCAGCGCCCTGCTGTGGCAGTGCCCCCTGGAGCTCCCGTGGCAGTGGAGAGATGCCTCTCACCTGGCAGTGGGGGCAGAGGGATGGAGGGAGTCCTCTCCCCCCAGGGCAGCCTCCACCCAAACCCTTTATCCTCAGCCCCAGTCCAGAGCCTGTCCCCCAGCCAGAGCCCTCATCCTGTACCCCTCCCCCTCAGTCCTCCCCCCATTATCCATGTGTGGAAGGACTGTTGTCACGTGATACCCACCTCCACATTGGTGCACATCACACAAGCTGTTCTGCACGGGGACACACAAGACAGAGGGAACGCTGCTTCTAGGTTGTCTCCCCTACTCTGGAGGGGAGTGGGATCTAGTGGTTAGGGGCGGGCGGAGTTGGGAGCCAGGACTCCATGGCTCTGGAGAAGAATGAGGTCTAATGGTGCAATCCCAGGGCGCTGGGGCAGATGCTGCGCTGGGGTTGGGGCAGTTTCTTTGGTCTCCCAGGCTGCAGCGTCTCTCCAAAGCGCGATATGAAATCAACAAGCGAATCTGAGCCCGTATTCCTTAGCTTCAGCTCCAGGGAGCATCAAACCCCCGCCCAGAGCACCGAGACCGGCCCAGTAGCCACAGCTGCTGAAGACAGAGGCAAAGGGCCAGATCCCAGCCAGGGCAAAACCCCTGGAGCCATAGCCAGAAGCCAGAGGCTTCAGGTCCCCAGGTCTGGTGTGGGGTGGTATTGCGGGGGAGGGGACACTGGCATCACTGGACAGTGCTCAGTGGTGCCAGGTGTGAATAATTTGGGGGGTCCCTCATTTCAGGGGGATGAGGGGCCCAGGGCAGCCTGGGAGGTAACCAGGGGGCCTGGCCCCGGTGGCAGCAAGTGACTTGGCCTCCACCTGCCCCACTCCCGTGATTCCTGCGTTGGTCGGGAGAGGGGCAGAAGCCTGAAAGATGTGGGCTGGGCTCGGGGGCAGGGGTTTGAGCATTGGCCTTCTGGACCCCAGGATGGTGAATTCAATCCTTGAAGGGGCCAGTTAAAGAAGGGGGGCAAATCTGTCAGGTATGGTACTTAGCCTTGCTATGAGGGCAGGGGGCTGGACTTGATGACCTCTTGAAGTCCCTTCCAGCTCTGTGAGGTAGGTATATCTCCATATATTATATTTAGGGGGCAGGAAGAGGTGGGGCAGGGAGGGAGAACTGGGTTAAAGGGTGCAGTGGGGCAGGGTCACTCACTGCTGCCAGCCCCAGGGCCCTGGCTAACCAACCCCACCAGCCACCCTGGGCCCACAGATGGGGCAGCTCTGGAAATATCAAAGCCCAGACCAGTGCAACCCGGCCCATGTTCCTGAATACTGACATCGTACGGGCTTTATAACTCTGCCCAGGCCAGAGCTGGGAAAACCCTGAGACATCCTGGCGCTTTGCAAGCAGTACAGTGGGGAGAGGAGTGTCCCGCTTCTGGGCAGGGATGACTGAGCCCCAGGAAAACAGACCCTCCGGGCAGGGCTCTGGGTCCGGTGCGTGTCCCTCCTTGCCAATCAGTTACAATTTGCATAGCTCCGATAGCATTGGTGCTGTGCGACAAAGCCAGTCCCAGGCACGGCCAAGACAGGCAGCGGACGTGCCAGGCTGACTCACCCGCCTTCAGAAGGGGAAACAGGTTTCCAGTGGAAGCTTTGATCACTGCAGGCTACACGCTTGGCATCTATGGACCAACCCTGTATACACCGGTCACGACAGCCCGTGGCCCCGGAGTCCAGGTGCCCAAACTACTAGACCCTACTCCCCCCCCAGAGCTGGGAAGAGAACCCAGGCACCCTGGACCACACTCCTCTCCTGTGATAGAACCCAGGGGTCCTGACACCTGGGCCCTCAGGTCTGAGCCTGGCTTTGCTGTGACCTAGGGGCTGGGGAGGGCGCCCAGCGGCTGTTACATAGGGAGAAGGCATCTCTGCTGGGGACATGGTGGGAGCTAAGTTCAAGTGTAACTTTTCTGCGCAGCGTGTGGGGCTGGGGAGCCTGCCTGGGGCTCCCCACTGCCTCCCTAGGCCAGACCCGGAGGCTTGGCAGATTGGATCTGGCCCATAGGCCATATTTTGCACAATCCTGCTGTAGAGGCTCCTACACTAAGCTCCAGAGGTCCCAGGTTCAAGTTTGCCTCCTGGTGGTTACATACGCACCCTAGTGCAGGTCTCTCCATGGCCTCCCCTTTGCTTGCCCAGCTCAGAGAAGCGGATCTCCCCTCTCCAAGAGGATGGTGCCCCTGGCCCCTCACACTGGATGCCTGCCCAGGTGGGTGTATGATCCATCAATAGGGTTTGAATTATCCACACCTGGGGGAAAAATCTCCTCAGAATGTTTCACAAAGGGTCATAAAATTCCTCCTGAGCCCAGGACCTGCTTGGGGAGGCTTTTCCCCACCGATTCTCAGGGCCCCCTGCAGGTGCATTCTCCAGACCTCTGCCCTCCCCATTCTCCAGACATCTCTGCCCTCCCCACCCGGTGCTCCACCGTCCCGGCGTGCTGCAGTTAGGCAGGGCCAACTCCCATCTGCAGTCCAGCTGTCCTGGGACGGGTTGGATGGGATGGGGAAGAAATCCCTAGTGCTCCACTGGGGAGAGCCCCCACCCTGACCCTGCAGCACAGCGCCCCCTAGTGCTCCACTGGGGAGAGCCCCCACCCTGACCCTGCAGCACAGCGCCCCCTAGTGCTCCACTGGGGAGAGCCCCCACCCTGACCCTGCAGCACAGCGCCCCCTAGTGCTCCACTGGGGAGAGCCCCCACCCTGACCCTGCAGCACAGCGCCCCCTAGTGCTCCACTGGGGAGAGCCCCCACCCTGACCCTGCAGCACAGCGCCCCCTAGTGCTCCACTGGGGAGAGCCCCCACCCTGACCCTGCAGCACAGCGCCCCCTAGTGCTCCACTGGGGAGAGCCCCCACCCTGACCCTGCAGCACAGCGCCCCCTAGTGCTCCACTGGGGAGAGCCCCCACCCTGACCCTGCAGCACAGCGCCCCCTAGTGCTCCACTGGGGAGAGCCCCCACCCTGACCCTGCAGCACAGCGCCCCCTAGTGCTCCACTGGGGAGAGCCCCCACCCTGACCCTGCAGCACAGCGCCCCCTAGTGCTCCACTGGGGAGAGCCCCCACCCTGACCCTGCAGCACAGCGCCCCCTAGTGCTCCACTGGGGAGAGCCCCCATCCTGCCCCTACAGCACAGCGCCCCCTAGTGCTGCCAGGGACACACCTCAGCAGAGAATGGGGACAGGGGCCTAGGTCTTGGCCTCTCCCTGCAGCCCAGGATTTAGTCTTTGAGCTTCGTACAGAGGGGCCGACCCTTTGAAGGGAGGCAGGGCCTAGCTCCCCTGGCACCACGGGGAGGTCCCCTCTGGCCTTCAATTCTGTGGCTCACCAGCTGGCGCTGGGACACTGGGGGCTGGGGAGAGAAGCCTCCACAGACAGGGCCCCGGGCTACGCAGGAGCTCGATGACCTTTCTGCAACATGCTGTGGAGATTTTCCCAGCCGGCGTGTGGAGAAATAACCAGCCCAGGTTCCAATGATGAAAACCCCATTGATGGGCCATAACCCCGCCCGGGCCCCACCCTGCGGTTCTCCAGGTCTTGAGGGGGTCTGTGTCTTGGGTCAGGACAAGAGAAG